TAGTAGAGTGTGCTCTAGTGTGAAGTGCAGTTATCTGAACAATCTCGCTAACTAGCTGTCAACTAGCAGTGTCTGCTTTTAAAATGTGTGCCATACTCTGGTCCTCTGAGTAATCCAGAGCACATTTTGTCACCTGTAAGTTAGTAAATGATATGGTATCTTAAAACTGAAGGGTCAGGATAGATTTAAGTTGAAGTCCATAAGTGGTATGGCACAGGTATGCCCAAAATGGGTATTTACCTCTTAATGTGCTGATACCTTGAAACTACCCGTTTGCAAATAGTCAATGTCTGTAGGTGTTAAAAGCCCCTGGACTTGAGCAAAGTGGAGCTCGTTCCGTAGCACTAATGTGTTTTGCGTTAAGGTGTGGTCTGGGAAATTCTGGTGTCATCAGTTAATTTCTTCCTTTTGTGCTCCTAATACTAAACTATGGGAACATGGTGTGTTATGCTGAAGCTACTTGTAGGTTTTGTACTGTTTAGTCTAGTTTGTGTTGATGATGGGGAACATTGTAGCTACTTTTTCTAGTTTAATGTTGATATCAAACATGCTTTGCATTTCGGAAATATTTACTATGGGCATCTAAAAATCCCAAATGAAATGTACTGCCTCAGCTGCTTCAGAGTGGAAAGAATACTAGCACACTGTTAGTACGCTGCATCTTAACTAAAAATATGCCAGAATCTTTGGAGGTTTTGGACTTATTTTAGAGTAGGGAAGGCTAGCTCAATTCCACAAACTATATTACTTTTTTTATACATGTGTAAACCTATAACTGACAGTTCAAAATGTGTTCAAGCAAACTAGGAAACAAATATGTAATTGACATGTTAGCTAATAATAGACATTTTAGGGACTCAACTCTTCAGAAATAACATTTGTCATGTTTAAATATTTATCAATAAGGAATTTTGTATGTACATTTAGTAACTACCATGTGCAGAATTAAAGTTACTCATGTAACTACAGCCAAGTAAGCCAGTCTTCATCTTCCTGTGTGCTCACTTCCAGTCTGGTTAACCAGGGAGTTTAACCACTAACATTGTGACTTTATTTTGAGAACTGTATATGGGAACTGAGGTGTTATGAAGCCACTGGACACAGGGAACTTGTCATGGCTGATGCCTTACCCAATTCTTTTTATTTGCTATTTGAGCCATGGAGAGAAAAATAAACTTCCATTTTTTTAAATGCTTGTGCAGTGTTAATTGATGAAGAAACAAAGCGTGTGTTAGCAAAGCTGACACAATCTATCATGGATTAATAAAATTGAGTATTCAGTTATTCTACATGCATCAGTGAAACAGAATTCTGGCTTTAACCTTATTAGCCTGAGTTATGTACATGTCAAAAGCTCAGAACAGACCTGAGTAATTGCCTCTGCATTTTGTGCAGTACCAAGTTCTCCTTCGGGTAGCAGCGAAGGAATAGATTAAGATCAACGTGTCCCAGAAAATCACTAAAAATAGAAAGCTCTGTGTTAAAATTTCTGTTTCAAAGTAAAAACTATTGGATACAATAATGCCAGTAATTGTGCGTAAGAGCTGCCATCAAATGTAATACTCAGTATTCTTTCCTTAAAATACTTGCACCTTATGACTAAGGAGCTCTGGGTGATCTGAGGACTGTTTCTGGTTCTCACAGTCTTCCTTTCTTTTAAAGTTGCTTGACCTCTGTGCTTGTTTTGAGGCATACTGTTTGGAGTTTCACACTTGAGGAGTCTTATGAATTGTTTGGATTTTCTCTGCAAGACATAGACATGTTGTTGTAAGGTAAGTATGTTATTTGCTTTTCCATTTAATAGACTCTCCCATTTTGTCTGTACAGTATTCTGTTGCAGCTACTCTTCCATCTGTGAACTTAAACATTTCACCATTAAGGTTCTGGCTTACTGTAATCACACCTGCTAAAATCAATGTACTCTAAACTTTCTGTGAGTTGGACTATATTTCTTTGTGTTTATATGGCAAATTGAAGGATGATTTGAATCTGTGAAATCTGTAAGGGAAAATGGCTTGAGATTTTTTTGTGGGGGAAGTCTGGTAAGATTCCCCTTCCGGTTTGTCCTCCCTTAAAAAGTTCTAAAGCTTACGGATAGCTATTTTTAAACTTCCTGCATGCTGCAAGCTTCCCCATTTATCCTCATGAAGGGAAGAGTGACTTGTTGGAAAGGTAGATGCAGATTCCATGAAGTCCTTGAATTGTGCTATAATCTTATTAGCCTTTTTACCACCTCCTGTTAAATCCCACATGTGAGGATCTGGCCTCTCCACGGGAATACACTGTAGCTGATCACAACTGAAGATGGTCCAGTCTGCCAAGGTGTATGTAAAACTAGTACTAAACCTTGTTGATATGCATATAGATTCCTCTTCTCCTGAGTAACTTCTAGTTATAGTTTGAGACCATGTAGTAATTTTAGGTGGCATTCTTGAAAATTGGTTAAAGGATATGTGAAAGGAGACCACCTCTTGGCAAACAATTCTTGTTAGGCGTTTCTGTTTTAGTTATGCTGACTATTAGATTAACTAAGAACATTTAGAGTTGATTATCTTGTAAAACAATGTTAGGACTATTCTTTCTTTCCAGGATTGCTTTTAGGTCACTGAATTTTTAAACAGATAAAGCCAGTGACCCATTTAACTCAGTGTCTGAATTGCTGTCCCATGCCACTGGTAATCTCATATTGCTGCAAAGTAATGGCTGGCAAATGCTTACAAAGAAAGTTGTAAGGATTTCCTCTAAATGTGGAGCATTTAGAGGAAAACTCCTCTAGCTGCTGACGTCTTGCAAGATTCCACCTAAAATCTGAAGAAATGCTGGGAGTTTGAGGATTTTTTTTTTATTCTGTAGAAAACTTGAGCTCTAAGGATCACCTCTAAGGTAGGTGTATGGAGCTTGAATTCATTTCTCAGTAAGGCCCATCTTGCTTTCTCCTCATCTTTGCTTATGACCAGGAGTGTCAAGTATATGACCCATATGCCAGGTCTGGACTGTGGAGCTGTATAATCTGACCTGCAGGACTCCTAGAGGAGTTGGGAATTCGTGGGTGGAAGCAGAAGAGGGTCCACAGGAAGATCTGCCAAATGCAGAATACAGAGCTCCACTGTGGGGGAGGGAGTGTTTAGTAGTAGGAGATAAGCGCTGAATCCTGTGGATCCCTGATGCTACTTGTCCTGTAATCTGGGTTCAGTCCCCATGGAGCCAGGTGAGCTTGATATCCCATGTTCTAGACAAAGCATCTGCTGTAACATCATAGCCTGTTTTGATATGGCTTGGAAGAGCTTCATCTTGTCCAAAGCCATCAAGGCTCGTGGACAGAGGTGATATCTTTTCTTAGACCAACAAGATTTTTGCAAAAAAATTCTTATAATTGGAAGCTTTCAAGCGCAAACACCCTTCAAAACCAGGCGTCAGAGAAAAGATTGTAAAAGTTCTCCTGGGTAGAAATAAAAGTTTGTATTTCACAGGATTTCACGGAGGAGTCAATAGATGGAAACATCCTCTGGGCAGCAGTTCTTAACTGGTAAGGAGCCTCAGCTCTCCTGTGAGGCTGTGATGATGCAAATTACCTTAGACAAAGGCAGGAGCAGAATCTCAGGTTTCAGGTGGTCAAAGTTGTTTCCTGCTTGAGAAAATGTGAAGACTTCATTTCATTTTGTCCATGCATCTTTGAAGAGCTGTCAGAAATTAGGCAAGTGTGATCCATGTCCTTTACTATTCAGAAATGTATTCTTCCTTAACCCACAGGCAGTGGGGAGAAAGAGTTGGAACCATATCTGCAGCTTTGTGTCACTCTTCTGATAATGTTTTCCAACACCCTGTTTGCAACTGTAGTTTTCTCTGGAGGACTTAAAGGAACTATGAATCAACTTGCAAAATCCAACACAGTGGAATTCTAATGGCCTCTATACTAGTCTGAACTTGTTTGCACTTATCTTTTGTTAGAGTCCAGTAATCAATTTGCATGCCTTGGCTTCTCCAGCCACACAATAGCCATGTGCATAAATCACATTTTTCAGACAATCGTGCCAGTCTTTCAGCAGTGCTATTACTGAAATAGGTTGGCAATTTTGTAAAAGAAATGACTCATACGAGAAGCATGCTCAAGCACTTTGCGGCAGCCTAAATTTGTAGCTAACGTTGAACAACAGGAATGGGTGCCAAAGTGGCTCATCTAAAGGAAAAACTAATCTTTGCTTGAAATCTGAAAATGGTTGAAATACATCTGGAAGAACCTTTTTTTTTGTCAAAATGCTGTCATTGAAGCCAAAACACTTCAGTGACATGGAACTGTTTTGATAGTTTTTGACAGTTATGGGTTGAGGTCCAGGGTGGACTTTTGGCAAGTTCCAGAGGTCAAGATTGAACCTGACCTTTTGGACACAATCCTACTTCATGAAAACAGTTTGCTTTGGTTCCAGTGCGGAATGGAAGCATTTCAAAATTTCAGCCTATCAAGTAGAATTACCCATCCTTACCACCTCAGATAAGTACTGCACTTAATAATGATATAAACAGCTTGACAAAGAACTATGAAATACAGTGGCTGGCAACCTTTAATAACCTACAGGCTGGAACAACCAAACTGGTTCAATGTGGGCTGGGTGAATTTGGCAGCAAGTCAGCTGCCTGGCTTCAGCACAGCTCCCCACCAGCTAGAAGCTGCATCCATCCCACTGTTGGCACTGGATTCACAACCCAGGCCTGATACTTTGCTCCAGGTGAGCACAAGCTTCAGATCGACCGCAATTCCTCTGACTGATAATAGGCAAATTTTATTGATAGGGAATAAGCAATGCAGGCAAAGCAAGCAACATGATTACAGTGTACATTACCCAAATTCCCCTGTGCCCAGAATATATACAAGGTGAACGGTCCATCTGGCTGGTACATAAACGCCACCTTGAGGTTCTTCACGTGACTGTCCGACATCAGCAACCTTGGAGGTCGGGGGCTGATGCCAAGTGCCCGCTTGCTGTTTTGAAAACTCCTTTTGTATTCTTTCTCCTCCAATAACTTCATCTTTGGGCATCGTGGGTTGATCTTCTTGTGGTCGTCATACTGTCCACATTCTGGTGTCTCAACCAAAATCCTATTTTCATAAGCCTATCACGTGCACACACCTTAATATGGTCATTTCATTTGAAACTGGAAATCCCAAGGGTGTTCACAAGTGGGCACTCATACCTCGGAACCAGGCCTCTCTATTATGAAAATAAAGCTTGGATGTTTTCAGTCTCCCAGGATGCATATATCCGTTGGCTGCAGGTATTCTGTCTTCCCTGAAGGTTGTGAAACTGTGACAAAACAGGCTTTTAGAAATCAGTTAACGCTTGCCATTCTCTTAAACCATTGTTCTAATACAATATATATTTTACCTACAAGCCAGTTCCTAAAAACAAACCTCTACATGTCATTTTCTAGCCACAGCCAGGGAGCAGGGGCATCAGGGGAAGTGGCAGCAGTGTAGGCACAGCTTTCAGCTGCCTGGCTGTGCTGTGGACACAGGCATAGACAAGGCCCTCTGCCTCCATGGGCCATATATTGCTGACACCTGGTAAACTATTTAAACCATTTCTCTTTAGTGTCTACCACTTGTGGCTCTCCATATTAGAGGCAGATAATAACCTTTTCCCTCCCCATTCTCCCCACTTTCAGGAAACTTGGGGAACTAGAGAGTTGTAATGAGTTCTTCTGACTCATCTAAGTACTTCATGTTGCCTCACAGTGTAATTCCTGAAATGTTTCCCCTTGCCTTGGGAAAATCAGTGTTAATGGTTAGAAGTAGAGGAAAAAAAATCTAGGTGGTGATGGGTCAGTATTCATAGCTTTTTCCTGAAACACTTAGACTGAAGCCGGAGGTGCCAAAATCTGACAACACTAATTCATACTTGCAGCAGGGTCTAACGTTGTTTGGTTTCATGGCTGACCCTACAAACCAAAGTTCTGTCTGCCTGTTTGGTCATCAAAGATTTGTCACTTTTTGGAAAAATACAGGCTTACCACAGTATCCTTTATGTGTGTCTGTAAATATATATGTGTATGCATGTATATGTGTGTTTGCTCCTCCAAAATTATTCAATATGTTCTTTTCTAAGCTCTCTTCTATGTAAAGCAGTGATGGCTGGTTTGCTGTGTTGCTGGGTTTATTTAAAGCCTGACTACTTAAAGAGATTCAGCTTAGTTGACATTTGAGGCTGTAATCTGACAATTTGCACAAACACTTATCTGCTAGTACTTTTGAGTTAACTACTTTCTTGCCAGTGCAATATTGCAGCACAACTTATAGTTATTTAAAAACAAATAGAGAGTACTTTTGGGAAGGGCTACAGCTTATAAGGTGCTTGAAGATCTTTCTGGATGAAAAACACTCTGTGAAAGCAAAGGGATAAGAGAAACAAAACGCTGGAGTGAACTTCTTTTCAGTACCTTAGCTGTAAATTTTATTTCTGAAAAACTACAACTAAGGCTGATTTGGATCCACCTTCTTTTATTTAAGGAGCCCCATTCAGAGGGTTGGGGCTAAGTGCTTTTGAACTGTGCCCACCTTTTATTGTATGAAGTAGAGTTGCAAGGGGGAGGAGGTAGACTACAATTTAAACTCTTTCCTAGTGAATAAGCAGATTCTAGAGTGCTCTTGAAACTGTCCAGATATTATGGAAAATATGTAATCACTTTCTTCCACTACAGAACATATGCAGCTAACTAAACGTGGGCTTGGGAATAACCAAAAAAAAAAAAAAGGAAAAAACTCTTTTTAAAATGTTTCATTGTGAAATTCTGGAATCAAAGTTTTTCTGAAAAGCTGTTACAAAACAGAAGTGACTGGAAACTCTTGTATATATTGTGCTGTGAAGTGTGGGTTCAGATGCACAAAAAAATTCCCTTAAAAGGATTTGAAAACTAAATGGGTTTTAAGACATTATTTTAAGAATAAGTCTCTTATTGTCCATGAATTAAAGCAACAGCACGTGTTCCAGAGTTTTTCAAAGGTGTGCAGATATCCCTCATTTCACCAATGGCAAAACTGGATACAGCAATACAAAGACTGACTTGGGCTATCACAGTAAATTGAGAAAAAACAGTTCTGTGCCCTGTTCCTTTAGTGAAGTGAAGTGGCATTGCTGTTGCAGTGAATTTAAGGCATGATATAGTTACATTTGCAAACATATCAATAATTACTTATGATAATCTACAGAGACTATAATCTCTGCAGTCATTCTTATTCTAGTTTCTGTACTTGATTATAGATACCTCTAATTGATATACTTTTGTTCCATGCTACCCTCCCAGAATAGGAGGGGAATGAGAAATGGCTTGTTGCTGGGCCTCCCATACAGAAGAGCAAAAAGAAAAGAAACACCAGGATGTAACAGACTTTTTGGTGGTGCTCTTGGCAGTAGCATACACAGAAACAAAAGCTCTGATGTTCCTGTCAGAGATAAGCTTTATGTCTTAGAGATGTAGCGCTCATCCTTTGAAACGCTGTCCTAAAAGGCATTCCTCATGCTATGGTTTCTTCCTGATGTTGTATTCTGCCTTTTTTGCCATCACAGATGATGCATGTGAAGGCTTTGTGAGGGTGCATCATTTAAAGTACTTTTTCAAATTGTGTGCAATACTGGCAGAGAGGTTGAATATCGTAGCTAAAGAGCCAGCAGCCTGAACTTCATAAAATGGTTCATGTTCTGCAGCCTGCTGGCTGCTAGCAGCCCTGAAGCAGGTCGGATCAACAGGTGCTATAGCTAAATGCTTCAGGTTAATAGAGTTAAAGCCATTACCGCATTATAACTTTTAAAGTGCAAGTATTCAGTGGTGTACCTAAATTCCTGGAAAATACTTTCAAGTACAATCGTCTCAAAGGAGCATGGCTTTTAATTCAGTGGTGCCCAGCTTTTTGACCCCATGGGTGGTGTGAGATCAGTCTGTGGGTGGCTATCTGTGGCATGCAAGGCCAGGCCCTGGTGAATGGGAGGATGTTAATTGCAGCCACTCCACTGCCACCACATTTCTGGACCTGTGGGGGGAGTCCCATGTGGGGGTCAGAGATTGATTACCACTGACCTAATCTATTCTTCAGTAAAAAGGAAGAAGAATACTACACCTATAAAAATAAGGCCTAGCCCACACTAATGGTTTTTTCCAGGAAAAGTTTGAATACAAGCACTTTCAAAGCCCCTCTGTGATGGCAGGACCTTCCTTTCTGCTGGTATGTACTCCAGCTCTTTGATGGGAAGCAGCAGAAGTGAAGGTGCCTGTGGATGACTGCTACAGTTCACTTAACCTCTGATACCGTCCCAGGGTACACTTTGCACTCTGGTGGCAGAGCTACTGTAATGGAGCCATGTGTGGGCCCCAGAGGTCCCCAAGTGTATATATATTGAGACGGCTTGGATATAGAGGTTGCTGACTACCACCAGCACTTCTGGGTGCCAGGCCATGTAATAGTAGATATAGCCTAAGAAAATACTGCACTGCTTAACTAGTAGTGGTTCAAATACCCAACAACAGCAGTATCTACTGATATTTGACTTTTGTTATAGAATATCATCATCTAACTGAGGTAATAGCCAGAGCAAGGGAACATAGGAACGACTGTACTCAATCCAAGATGTATTCCTTCTCATCCAATATCCATTCCCTGATGGAAGAAGAGAGGAACAAGCAAGCACATCATTATGGGATGAAGATTGTCACTCTCCCATCAAGGTATCTCTCTTTATCCTCATGAATTAGAGATGGTTTTTAAATCCTGAAGCATGTTTAATATCCCTTCCAGAACAGGTAGGGATTAGTATTGGCTTTAGCTCTGGAGAGTCTTGTCTTTCTAAGTATTGTGTGTGAGGGTGTCAGTTCTCTCTGGTTTTGTTTCTGCATGGGCCTTAACCCTAGTGTGTATCAGTTTATCTGTACAGTTCTCCAGGATGGAAGGAATTTGAGCCTAAATGTTTGTAAGTTGCTCTCCAGTTCCTTAGCTGGAAGGTTTTCAGTGTAGTTTGTTAATGAGGTGCTGACAGGCACTCCTGGTTATTTGCCAATTTTGGACCAAATAGATCCATCTCTCATAAGCCTGTAGTCTTGATAGCCCCCACCTTTTACTGCTATTTATTTAGTGCTGACTTATGAAACTAACAGATAATATTGTTTGTTTAAAGGATGCATTTCCTTCTCCTCTGGGCACTGTCTTCTCTTTTTTCTTTTTTCAGCTGCCAGCCTTGCTCTCATTTGGGCCTTACAGATGGATTAGAACCATCTTTTAGCCTTTTATAGTTAGAAGGGCAAACAGTGTTTTAGACCGAAGTGAGGGCTATGTTGGCCTAACAACGTGTAAGGGGATCTTTCAAGTTTTATCACTCAAATAACCTGAGCTACTAGAGAAGCCAGATGTGGTTTTTAAGCTATGTTGTAGGATCAATCCAATAACCACTTCAATTCACAACTTGGAAATAAGGATGGCTTCATTCTAAAGTCACCTTAAAAAGTTTTTAAACTACTGCTTTTTATAATTTATGAACCAGAAGCATCTAAGCCCTGCTGTGCTGTATAGTTTACAAGCATAGAACAAAATAATCCCTACCCTGAGAAGCTTGAGATATAAAAGATGAGACAAAACACACATAGAGACAACAAAGAAGCAACTTTTTACACTTTCCATTCAACAGACAATCCCTACCCTCTGTCTAGAGGCCCATAGGATAAATGACACAAGGGATCCAAAATGCCTTCCTTCCACCCTATTTGTTCCCCCATACATTAGTAAGAGCAGGTTGCTTGCCTTCCCACATGGGGGAAGCTGCCTGAAATGCCTCGGTTTCTCTTTGTTGTATAGGGTGCCTGCCTGCCATTTGTAGAAGTGGAGTGAAAAAGACAATATAGAACCTACCTGGGCTCAAAAAAGACCCCTGCCCCACTTACAGGACTTGGTAGTGTTCAGAGCCATTCTTTCCTCCTTTTCTATTTTTAATTGAGTATTGAGTGGTAGAGCAAGGAAAGGACTTGGGAACCTGATTTTCTTTCTAGAACTGGGAAGTATCTGCACAGCGGCAGGGGTGGGAGCGTTCTTTGGAGTGATAGAGTTGGACCTGTCCAGATGCCTTACTGCTCCCTGGCCCAGAATGAGCTTAGGCTTTTGCTCTTACATAGGCCTGAATGAAGGGCAGTGGTGAGCACAGGTGCAGCCTGTAGAACAGGTGTAGCGACTGCCACACCTTAGTTCACCCCTGTTACCCCCAGCTGTGTGAACACATATTCCAACACGTCTAGTTTAACACCATTGCTGGCATTGTTCAGTGTTTACACAGACTAGTCAGGTGGGTTTTTTTTCTAACAAGTGTTTTGCCCAGACCTGGTCAGAGCTGCTGAATACAGTGTTATAAAAACTGCAGCCTAAACTAGTACTTTTTGCTCTTGCAAGCTTCAGTGAAGGTACAAAGTAGTTGGACCAGTGGCCTGAAAATTGCCTAAGGTTTCCTCCTCATTCATATGGCCTCCCATTCTGTGCTGAAGGTGATGAGACACAATTCTGTTGATGCTGTTGTGCAGCACAGGGAAATAGAGATGGTAAAAACTAGGAAAGACCTCAACTGCAACCTCTGCAATGAAAACAAGCCCAACAGCAGTAAGCCTCGGTGGCTGAGTATTAAGATACCTGGGGAGGCCCAGCAGCAAGCTTTTCTCATTCCCCTCCTGTTCTGGGAAGGTGGTGTAGAAAACCAGTGATGGCTAATTTCAGGGAAAGGTGGGTGGTTCATGTCCCAGGCTCCTTTATCCCTAGGCTAGAATAAAAAAACAATAGCTATGACTTGGTTCCCACCCAGCTGTATGGTAGGAGGAGCAAGAAACTCAAAGGGCAAACACAGATTGAAGAGTGTGGTGCTGTAGGACATCTACTTCTTCTAGCTCATGCTGCTCTTTGCTGCTCCTAACATTATAACTGGTCACACTAAAGCAGTGATGCAGTATTTAGCTCCTATGTAGCATTTTTATGTGAAGCTCCTTACAAAAGTTTTTGTAGAAACCCTGTTTCAGCTTCGCTTTATATACATACCATATTTCCATTTGGAGAACGTTGCCTGTAAATTTTCATTTTTGAAGGGTTGGGGTTTTTTTTAAATTTTCACGGAGGAAAGTTAAATTTAATGAAAGCATGACTTCTGTAGTCTGAAACACAGGAGGGAATGGAGGCTGAGAACCATTAGCAGCAACCTTTTCTATAAGGGTTGCTTATTGCATACCGCATGGTTTTAAGATTCATAGATTGTAGAGTGGGAAGGGACCACAATGGATCATCGTGTCCGACCCCCTAGCAGGAAAGAGGACTGAGGTCAGATGACCCCAGCCAGGTGACTATCAACCCTCCTTTTGAAGACCTCCAAGTTAGGTGATAGTACCACCTCTCTTGGAAGCCCATTCCAGATTCTGGCCACCGTTACTGTAAAAAAATTTCTTCCTAATGTCTAACCTAAATCTACTCTCCACTAGTTTGTACCCATTATTCCTAGTTACTCCCTGGGGCGCTCTGGTAAATAGCGCTTCTCCAATTCCCTGTTGTCCTCCCTTGATAAACTTATAAGCAGCTACAAGGTCTCCCCTCAGCTGTCTCTTTTGAAGGCTGAAGAGATCCAGATCTCTCAACCTCCCCTCGTGGGGTCTTTCATGGAGGCCACTAATCATGTGAGTGGCCCCCCTCTGAACCCTCTCCAGATTCTCCATGTCTTTCTTAAAGTGCAGCGCCCAAAACTGGATGCAGTACTCCGACTGTGGCCTGATCAATGCTGCATAGAGGGGGAGCATCACCTCTCTTGATCTGCTGGTCATGCATCTGCTAGTACACGACAAGGTGCTTTGTTGATGGCCTCATTACACTGCCGGCCCATGTTCACCTTGGAGTGAACTATGACTCCAAGATCTCTCAGCCTCTGAGCTGCTGAGGAGGTCACCCCCCAACCTATAGGTGTGCTGGGGATTCCTCCTCCCTAGGTGGAGTACCTTACATTTATCTTTGAATTGCATCCTATTTTGTCCCGCCCATTGATCCAACCTGTCCAGATTGGCCTGTATCTGCTCCCTGCCCTGTGGTGTGTTTAACTTTGTCCCATAACTTGGTATCATTTGCAAACTTGGAGAGGGTGCTCTCCACACCCTCGTCCAAATCTCTGATGAAGATATTAAATAACAGTGGTCCAGGTGTTAGGTGCCTGTTAAACAGAATCTGTCCCTCTTCTGGTTTGTTTTTTTGTGTATGGTTTGTGTTTTGTTTGTTTTTTCTAGTGACAATGTCAGTAAATTATAATGATCAGACTCTAGAAGTGGACCCACAATTACCATCCAAGACCCTTAGCCTGCAAGTTTCCCTGCTTACAGATGTGCCCCTGAAATTCCTTGGGGTACATTTCTGCAAGCAGGGAACACATTGCTTATTGTCGTACAGGATCAACAGGTGGGACAACAGGCAATGCATCCTGGCACAGCTGATCTGCTTAATTTGTCAACATCTATTTATACCCTTAGATACTATGGTGTTGGAAGCAGTTCTGACTTCACACCAGTGTAGGGTTACCATATGTCTGGATTTTCCCGGACATGTCCTCTTCTTGGGTTCTCCAGTCTCTGTCCAGGTGTTTTTAAAAAAAATATAAACAAATGTCCAGGTTTTTGCTCTGCTCAGCATCAAAGCTTTTTCCTGGCACTTTCTGGCTTACCCTAGCAAGGAGCTGCTTGGGCCGGGGGGGGGGAGGGCAGTTGGAGGAAGGGGCACCACGTGTGTTTGTGCACATGCATGCATGTGGCTGGCATGCAGCCAAGCAGGATAATAGTAGAAGCCTTGGTAGCTGGATGCAGGTATGTCTATGGGGAGCAGGAGTTGGAGAGCCAGGGCTTGGGAACAGTCTGGGCGGCTGTGTGGGGCATGTGGCACTGTGTGTATGGGGGTGGGGAGAGGTATGGAGGGGATGGGTGTGGGGGGCAGGTGCCTACTGGCACTGGGGAAAGCTGCCTGGGTGCTGGGATCTGCAGTGGCTCAGGGTGGAGAGGTGTGTGCCCCTCCACCAGGGGAAGGAGAAGGGGGGGTGCCCTTTGGGGGCAGCAGGGAGTTGCATGGCCAGGCTGGCAGCACGGGGCCAGTGCCCTTGCTCACAGGGACAGAGTGACCGAGAGGCCCTACAGGGCTAGGGGGCAGCAGGGAGCTGCAGGTGAGAATTGAGGGGCACCAGCATGGCCCAGGGGGGTGGAGGACTGGAGTGAGGGGCAGCAGCAGGGCTGAGGGAACAGGGGGAGGCTGTGGCTTGGGAGTGAGGGGCAGCAGCATGGCCAGGGGCTGAGCCCCCCCCAGTCATATACTTCCCCACCCCAGGTGTTTTGTTTCTTTTAAAAACTAGAAATATGCTAGCCCCACACCAGTGTAAATCATTAGAAACTTATTTGAATTACATACTAATCACCTTACTGTAAACCTGGCATGATAGAGCCTGCTACTGCTCTTGTACCACTAGGTGCACTTAATTTTAACAATCAAATAACTCTGAATTGACGTGGAAATTGGGAACAGAGTCTTTCACTTGAAAGTCACTCAAGACACCAACGTATGGTGTTTCAAACCCACGGCCAGATGCTGATCTGTTACACCAGCATAACTTCACTGATGTTGATGTTGTGATTCTGGATGCACGTGAGTCTAACTTTCAATCAGAATCTTGTAACTATCAGAAAATATTGCAGTGATGCTGGGCTACAAACCTGGTTCCCATGTCAAAGGAACATGGTGGAGCCTGAGAGAGAGAGGAAGAAGTCAGATATCAAAACAAAAAACAAGAGGTTTTGAGGAGAGACCCATATCTGTGCTTCTGAACATCTAGAATTGTTGGCTCAGTTAAGGCACATCCAACTTTATTTTGCTACAGTGAAATGATGATAAGCAGGACCATACAAGAGAACAGTGATCATTTATTTGGATGGTTAATATTGTTAGCTTTCTTACACTAGTAACAATTAGCAAAATGTTCTTTTCACGATCTCTGCTTCTCTGTTTAACAGAAATCTGAAATGACTTCCATGTCGTTCTCTGGGTTAAATGATTTTTTTGTGGGGGAGTGAGGGGAACAGCGCATGCAAGCACGTGTGTGTGTGTTTAACCAAAGCTGGAATTCATAAGAAATGAGAAAGTTACCCTAGCTCATTATACACATGGTCTTGGGGTGTGCAGTTGTGCAGGGAGAAACAATGTCTTTGTAGAAGTGCAGTTGAAAACTAAACAGTTTCCTGAAAACTTCTTTGTTTTGGACCCAAACAAACAAAAAAAAAAATCAGTTGTACTGCTGCACACTAGACAGGCAGAATTAATGTGGTTGGCTTAAAGAGGTTGCATCCAAGATGCTGCTGATTGGCGCTGGCATGCACCTGACTTTCCCAGAGCTGCTGTTAAGACAATTTATCATTCAGACTCCTTACAACTGGAAAAAGGGCAGGGGGAGAAATGTGCAACAATAACAAATCATAACTATAGAGTAAGATATTTTCCAGCATCTGTGAAAGGATGTTAGCTTTAAAAACAGGAAGAGAGATGCTACTACTACAAATGCCTACAGCTTTTAGAAACCTTGCTAAGGAGTTTTGTTCTGCATTGTCTGAGGCAGTGGGGGAAAATGAGAAACTGCTTGGGGATGGAGGTTTTTCTTGTGTGTCAGAGAAAATGCCCTTGACATTTTTTCTTCTTGGGTTCTAGGGCTAGTTTGGCTTAGCACTGCATGTCAGCTCAGTAGCTTTTACTGTTCCTTATCTCTTAATCTTTTTCTCTGTCCATTTTGGAACGAAACAAGATGATGTCAGCTACTCACATCTCAGAGCAACTTCAGATCACTGACTCCACAGAAACAAGTGGCAGATGCCAAGGATCAATTGATGATAATTTATCCTCTCCCCAAAGGAGGCTCTTACTTGTGTTAACAGAAACATGAGAACCAAGAGAATGGTGGCTGGTAAATAGTTATGTCTCCCTGAGATTTTAGGAGTGCTATTTCAAAATATTGTAAAGATGGCTATTTAAGAGCATAGACCATCTACAGATCCTTCCTTAGCCTGATGAAGGGTGTTTGTGCCCAAAAGCTTGCTAAAGAATTTTCCCAACTATTTGAGTTGGTCTAATAAAAGATACCAGATTTACCCAAAGAACCTTGTCTACCTTAATCCTGTTTATGCAGCTGAGTTATTTAGGGATTTTTAAGTTTCCAATGGCCAGACAGCTAGCCTCTGGCAAATCTGAGAGCAGCACCCAGGCCCTTCTCTGTGAACACATCATACACCTAAATAAAAAAAATACAGCAAGAGGTCAGGCTGTTCCCAGCTGCACTAGTTTAAATTCAAAATAAGCTCTGTAAATTTAATGGAGTTACCTTGGATTTACATAGGGATACAGAAACCTCACAAGGGATGGTGTAAGCCATCCACTAAGCTTATTTACATGGGGAAGTCAGTGTACAGTAAGCTAGAGTGTATGAATGTACAGCAGGCTAGTGGTTCCAGATTAATTCTTTCAAAGTGAAATAGACTTCTTTGCACAAGGGCACTTTTAGATGCTCACTAACTTATGTGGAATGTTAGTGTACTATAGCTTGTCCTGGATGGGCAAAGTCTGAATGAAAATGGTCAGAAAATGAGTGTAAATGACTAAGTTGATGTACTTTATGCCACTCTATATTCTCCGTAAGTGTTCTACACTCTATTCAGTAGGCATTCAGTTCACCGTTGTAGAAGTCGCTCATTCCAAAATTTACACAAGAGCAGAATTAGGTCCCAGAAAAGCTGGGGTTGATATGTTCTCCTATGCCTACAGAAAGACTATTTTACTTTGTACTCCAGAAAGTCACTATTTTGTTGAATGTATACACACATTTCTGCTCTCTTGTTACATAACTTGCATTAGTCTGCACATTTTCCAACTCAAATTGTACTACACTGACACTTTCAGATTTGTAATTGATTAACATGGCCCAGAAAATTTCACTGCATATGGACTTGCTTTCTTTTGACTGCATTTGGTCCATGTTTTGGATAAATGGTGGTTGCAGTTTAAAAAGCATTTCTCCTATTGTTTGTCTATAGGGGTTAGTGCCTTAATTTTATTTGAAACTAAAGTTAAAGAATAACCTTTTCGTGTTAGAAATCCACAGCTCCTACACGAATTATTTTGCTGTGATATTTCAGTTATAAACTTGTAGTGTTCACCTTTGTGATGTAAACACCTCACAGTGGTCTCATCTGGGGAATTAAAATATCCAAAACTGACCAGAAGCTCTAGTTCCTCCATGTTTTGGATACCCCATTTGAAGCAACTTTACATGGTCTGAGTTCACAGGGAAAGCTGAACACCAGTCCTTTTTCTGAACATGAAAAGGAAGTGTTTCAGATACAGTATCCCAAAATCTCTTTTCATGTTTTGAAATATAGGCCATTATCCTTGTTTTTTAGCAGAGAGATAAAGCGGCAAAGAGAGCGAGTGATCTGTCAAAGGTCATACAGGAAGCCTGTGGCATACGTGGAAATAGGATATGAAACTTCCCTTTCCTTCATTTAAATGTCTAGGAGCTAGGAATTCTGAACACTTAGGCCCTGTAACATCTGAGACCCAACCAATATTTCAATCTCAGGAGCATCTTGCCTTGCTGGTGTTAAATGTTAAATTTCATCCCTTTGGATGGTATGGAAATGCTGATATCTTTTGTGTTGAATTTAACACACATTATTCCAGAACAATTACTTGAAATTGAATTTTGAAACTCTTCTCATGTGAATTCAGTCTCATGCTCTTTGCTATGCTGACCTCTAGAGAAACTATTTGGTAAAACAGTTTTCAGGAGCTGAATACAGAGAACTCATTTAGGTTAAAATTAGCAACTGTCCTTGCAACAATAGCTGGTGATGGCTCAGAGTTGAGCTTTCAAAGCAGTATTTCACAGAATATTAACTTGCTTGCTTTTTTCTTACTTGGCTCCAAGTGAGCTAAGGTGTTGGGTGAATCAAGGTCTTACAACAGCATGAGTTCAGCTGCCGTGGAAAATATGATTGTAGAGATGCTGTAGCCCATAGCATACTAATCTATGCCCAAAAGCTTGTCTAGCATTTAACTACATAGTTGGTCCTGTAAAAGATATCAGCAAAAAACTCTTTGCCTCAGAAAATATGCCCTTTCTTCAGAAACAATATCTTCATGTTGGTAGACAATAGATATTAAAGGACTTAAAATGGGATGTCTCTATACTGTAAAACCATGCAGAGAATCATGTATCCTCAAATACAGGCAGTCCTCAGACTTGCAACACAAGTCTTAAACCATGTCTTAAGTTGAAATGTTGTAACTTGGAGCCAATTTTCTCATAAGAAACAATGTTATAAA